ATATTGACTGTTGCAGCGAACCACGCGAATCTTTGTCGACGAGAAAAGCGGCGAAAGATGAAACTAGGGTGTTATTAACATCCGATATGGTGATCGCTGATTTAATGAACATTTCCGAGCCTTATAATAATGAACAAAGTTTATTTTTAGCTTAATGAAGCGAAACTTTAACAATATACAGCTATATAATCGCGGAACTGGGTTATTATTTTCAGAAAAATTATTGAAAATGCTCTTGGATAACTTATTAATGTTATATTGTCGTTTTGAATTATCAATTACAACCATACTCTCCACGAAAGCATGTTGCGATGATTTTTGATTCTCTATTTTGATTTTTTAAGCGGAATATTATTAATTATAAAAGTTATGTCGCAATTTTAATAAATATCTGAGCGAATATGAGAAGATAATTTTCTTACAGATTATTTTTACAATTATTTTTTTTCCAAAGGAAGATATATATCGCGTACTTAAATTTATCGTATTAAAAAAGAGTAGGCTAGGAAACTACTATGGTGCTAATGAGTTATTGACTATGCGGTAAAGCGCATACAGATCTGACCGCAACCGTGTATCTCTTAAACAGAGCTGAATGTTTGACTTGGAATTTACGGGACGCTACGAGACGCGAGCCGCATCTGTTAGAACGAAACAGCCTTTCCCTCGAGCTGTATTTGACACACGGCACGAAACTACTGCATATTTAACAATACTCTTTCACAATTAACACGACAATCTAGTCGCGGTATAAAGTCTTTCTAACTGAAAGTTACCCTCTCTGCAGGTATAATGACAGCTTGAAGGATTATCTGTATTCCGTTTGGCGTGAGACTGCGCGATTCAGTCGAGTCTGTTGTGTATATTAGTTGATTCTGCAATACGACGCTAACTGCATGCAAATCTCGGCAAAAACGGATTACGTAAAATCATTATCCGTGCAATTATGATATTAGCTTAGAACTTGGAGGATCAATGTCATTGGGAGCATGATATTAAACTTGAAATTATAAGCTTGTTTACTTTTATAACTTCTAGAAATCTTTAATGCGTTATGAGTGTTATTAAGGATGTTTTGGCTGTACAATAATAGCAAAAAACTATCAAAAATAAAAAAAAAAAAATACATATGTTTTATGTTTATACTGTTTGAAAAATCAGATAAATAAATTCGGATTATAAAAAAGATTAAAATATCACAAAATAATATGGTTTTTAACGTCTTCGTAAAAGAAAATAATCGTAATTAATATTTTTCCTAATTTATGACAAAAACTTTTGATCGTGAATATCTTCTAAAATCAAATTTACGGAAAGAAAGAGAGAGATAATATTTTTCTACAATTTTTAGTAAATAACTTTTAAACGAGTAAGTGGATCTAAATCAAGTTTTGCACAAATATTTATTAGAGTTTTTTTAATATATGTGAAAATTTTTATTTTGTTGGCGATGTTTTTTCTTGTCAAATTTGTCAATAAATAAGTGCTACAATACACGATTTTCCATAAGAATCAATACCAACTTTAAATTTTAATAATTTCCAAACCGTTAAGAGAATTGTGCTTAGCTTTTGCACAGATAGTCAGAAGAAATAGTAGAACAGTCTACGCAATTTTCATGCTTTTGTCAATGTTTTGACATATGACACATCCTTAAATGATTTAATCACAGATTTCTATATATATATATTTTATATAAGTTTGTGGATTTTCAATAAACGCATCGTGCTTCACATTTAATTTCTTGTTAACAAATTATTTTCCTAATAAACACATATTTAATGTGAATTTAGATTAGATTGAATCGAAAGCAGATTAAACTGATGGATTTGGGATATTTAAATTATATATTGATCCATCAATCGCGCATATCAACGCAGAAACGTGACAGTGATGTAAAAGCGTCCATAATTGACAGCCATGCCGAAATAGTTATGAAGTGGTTAACCTTGATTGCTATATTTTAATACATATGACTTACTGATACTTTTGTAATTGCACTTTTTTTTTACTTACGTTAAGTGCTTGTGCAATATTTCGCATTAATCTTCAGTGTGCGTAGCATAGATTTTTTATCGTTTAAGATAATTTCAATCAGGTGGCCTTACCAAGTTTTTTAATCATTGCTCACGAAGAGAAAGATCAATAATTTTAATTTTAAATAATCTCACAAGGGAGGCGATCGAGTTGTTCTTAATAAATGAAAGCTGCATAATTAGAGCAATATAATTATAATGCCTGAGGCAAAAATTCTGCGGAATATTTCTTTGTAAGAAAAAGCATATTTAATTAAAAGTGTCACAAAGAAAAGATAAATTTACTCGTAAAATTTGGATATTTTATAATAACCGAAAAATATATATGCATGTGTGTGTGTGTGTGTGTGTGTGTGTAATACATATGTGTTGCATTGAAATGTGTTTACCGAAGCGTAAAATTTCAACGAAAACAATTAGCATATATAATATTGTATAGAATTTAGTTTTTTTTTTATCAAATAGCATCGTAATTGACAGAAATAACAAAACATTTTGCCAAAGTAAACAAATTGAGATATAATCTTATTATATATCTCTATCTTATTAAATATATTCAATCGTCGTTTAATAATAACGATAAATAATTATATTTCTTTGTTATTAAAATATTAATTAATTGTTGTAATTAGAAAAACGCCAATTATATGTGTAATTATTTGTATCTCTCGAGAGAGAACAAAGGCTGTTTCAATCAAAATGCTACCTTTATTAAAGATGTATTCTGCAACAATTTTTTTTTGAGTGCGCGAGCATATTGATTCTTCTGATTGTTCTGCTCACTCTTACTTTTTCATTTATAGAGGATCGTACAATGGGAACTATGAAATTAAGAGAGAAAAACTATTGTGTCAAGAAACGAGAATAATTAAAGAGAACAAAAATAAGTTCATGAGTCATATTTTGTAAATTTTTCAATAAAGCGTTTTAATAAATTAGAAATAATTTACGATAAATTATTTATAATTTGTTGAATAAAATTGAAATCAAAAGATAGACTATTATAAACTGAAATGCCGATGTTGGAGTGCAAAAGTTTCATTGACAAGAATATGTGCAACGTTTTGACCTTATTTTAGGTCTCAGTTGCATTTTTTTTTTTTTTTTTTAAGCAAATTATACTGATTAAGCAATTTTATTATTTGTTTTAATAATAATTGAATAGGCTAGACTTTTCGCGTTAACAGTAGAGTTATCAACGTGAAACGAGGAGAGATTTCTCAATCGTCAAGAGCCGCGGATCTCCGCTAAAGCGGAGCCCATCCAGAAAATGTTAAGAAGAACTCACAGAGAGCGACACGAACGCGGTGACCGTAAATTTTCCTCGCGATTTCACTTTCTCCGATGTGGCATAATTGCACGTGTTACGAATCGTAATGCTCGATTCCGCGCGGCATGGTCGCGCTCGCGTAATGCGCGTTCGTATTTTAACAATACAGGATACCCCCGTGTAATACGTCCGTGTAATACGGGAAAATACGTCCAGCATTACACGATATTCATGAGTTATATAAAGCTGGAAAAAAAAAATTTATATCGCATTTATTATATTATATTATTTATTATAAAAAAGAAATACAAAAAAATTTGTCTTTAATATATTGTATCAATAAAATATTTTTTATTTTCTTTTAAAACAAAACGGAAAAAACCTTAATAGTATTTCTTTATTATGTAACTTATATTATGTAATTTTTTTTGTATAATTTCTTTATTATGTAATCTGAGAAGGAGAGAAAAAACAAATAGAATCGAAGTAAGATTTAGATATAGAAATGAAAAATTTGAGATTTATCTATAGCGTTATATGCGAATTTACTGCGTTATAAAAGTACCGTATACAGGATCTATTGCATTTCTCATGCGCATAAAATAAGTATTTGTATTTCGTCAGATCGAGAAACGATGAATACTCACCATATCGATAATACACACCGTATCTCATGGCTAAAATCAATTGGTGTGCAATGAATATTTTTGCAACTTTATTTTACACATGGACATTTATTTTACATTTTATTTTTCTCTTATAAAATCGACGTAACTCGATTCGTGCTAAGAAGCGTACATATTCAAAACATTTGTATATTTCAACTTTAGAGCTTTTCGAGCGAATATTGCATCATTCATTGAATACATCTTTTATGATAGATTTTTTTTTTTCAAAGGATAAATAGAGATGGATATGCAAGAGTAACATTAGAGCTCGCGGCAATGCAATGTATCGAGTTAGCCAAAGAGAATAAATCTTCGTTTCAAAAAGTCTTCTCGTTTTTTTTTCAATACGTTGCTTCAGTGTCATTTGATTTTGAGTACGTTTGGCATCACGTATGCGTATATATAATTTGACTAAAAAAGAGTTAACTAAAAAAGTGTGAGAGAAGAATCGATTGTATCTATTGCATTTGACATAAGTTAAAAGAAATAATCGTGCATTTTTATTCTGATCAAGATATATTTTTCAAGATGTATTTTCTTTTTTATCTGAAAGATAACGGAAGATAGTCACACGAAACAATAAACATGTTATTCAATAAAATTTTGATTTTATATGAATTTTCAAGACGAGAGAACTTTTTGATTAATCTAACATTTGTTTCGAAACAAATGTTTGATTTTTTTTTTAAATGTGATATAATATGATAAATATTTATACGTTCCATTTTCCTATACCAGAACATTTTCAGAAACAAGAAAATTAATCTATAACATTTATCTGAATTGTCTATTTAAACATAGAACATAAAAAATACATACATGATATATATCCTTTCAAACAAAATGATACAAATAAGCTCTGATATAGACATTGTATAAATAATTATTTATTTGATTCACTGTATGCAACTTTTGTTTTATAAAAAACCATCTTGGATTTTGCGAAATGCGAGATTGTTGCGCGTTGAGAAAATTATCGCAGACGGATGTTAAATTAAAGTAAAAAAAAAATTATATTTGTGTATGAAAAAAAAAAACACTCTTTTTTACATTCAAGCTTTTTTAAAATATTTATAGAATAAACGATGAAAAAGAAAAATTTCTTCCATTACCCATTCATTGTGATCTTCTGATAGCATCTTCCTCCATTATCATCCTTTCCCTCTGTGCACCATCTCTGGAGGATTGACGGGATACAAAAGGTATACGAAGTTTTATCTTTCTGTTTGATTTACTAACGGGCGTTTGAAATATTTCATTTCTATTTTATTCATTGTGGTTATTCCTGTGTTATTGACTATCTTCGAATTCGTATTGATAAAAAAAATTTTTTTCCAGGTATGACAGAACTGAACATTCAAACTTGCGTATATTATAGGGTTGTAACAAATGGAGGATTTCGCGAGAAGCGCAGGCAGCACCGCTACGATGTGGGAGGTTTGTACCTGCAATTTACATATAAATTATCTTTTATGAGCTTTTATAATCCTTCGAAGTCCGTCATAAGTCCGTCAAAAGAAATTGATGAAGGCGTTGGGAAGCTATTGGCGTATCGGTTATTAAATCTTAGACAGGGAATTATAGACAGGCAATTGCCTTGATCTCAATCTTTCGACCTCGTCGCGACTAAACCAAATAATTTTGTTACTTGAATGTATACGCTATAAAATATTAATTGTTAAACATAATTGACAAATTAATTAAATCAGCTTGCAACGACTGTTTTCGAATACTAAACTTTTCGTGATTAGGAATACTCACATAGAAATATTGAACTGCGAGTGCAAGAATGGCGTAGGGCAACCAGGCGATTAGAAAAGCAAGGATCATTAGGTACACCATCATAGTGACTTTCTTCTCCCGTTTGTTATTTTGACCTGGAGCGCGAAAAATACTTATTGTTAGTAACAAATCGATTAATAAACCTGTTAGAAATATTCGAATTGGAGAAGTTAAAGATAACTTTGAAATTGCGTTATTAAATATGTAGAGTATATTTTTTTCCTGCAAAAATTGTATTTAGCATTGTGTCTTTAGATAAAAAAGAATTATATCTAACTTTGTATAACTAACATCAGATTTATTGCTACTAACTAAATCTAGCAGAAACTCACCGATTCTCTTCCTCATTTTCTTTAAATTTCTTATAATGCCATAGTAACTGCTGATAATTATTGTCAGAGGAAGGAAAAATCCAAAAATAAATAAAAATCCGATGTAAGTATCATTATGCGTCTCAGGATCGTGTAATTCCCAGGACACGCTGCAAGATATGTTACCGGCCTCCGGGCCATACTTGCCCCAATTAAAAAACGGCGGTAATGACAAGGACAGCGCATATATCCAAACCAAAAGCGCCAATGCGTAAGCATGTCTATAAAAATTGACGGATGTCCAAAGGAGTAAGTATTTAATATAGGGGACAAGAGCTTAAAAAATATTATAATTAATATTATAATACATATGTGTGATGATTATAATTATATTGTTTTATTGGGAGATTTAATTTATATTAAAAGATTTACATTATTTAAAATAAAATACAAAAACTTAGCGCATCCATGAAGAAATTAATATATTTTTTCAGACCGTATTTAAATTTTGGAAATATATAATGTATATAAAATTATTACATGCTTTTATTACAATTTGACGGATACTTCGATAAAAGCCAAAC